CCCCAAACTGCCCCGCCCGCCCACCTGCTGCAGCACCACGCAGTTCACGCCCCCAATCTCCTGCACCGCCAGCCGCTTCGCCCGCCCCAGGTCCGCGGGCCCCGGCGCCTGCAGCTTGGTCAGCGCGGTCGCGTCGGTCGCGCGGCAGAAGCGCCGCATGTCAAACTTGGATGGGATGCGGAGGGCCATCATGCCGTATTTCTCGATGAAGTGCATCGCCATCTCCCCGATGGCACCGCCGGACGCGACGACCTGGGGGTGTGGTGTGTGTGTGTGTGTGTGTGTGTGTGGGATGAGAGACAGACAAAGAGAGGGAGGGAGAGAGGAGTGTGGAGAGAGAGATGCCTGATTTGCAAATCGGTGTGGGGGTGCACGATGCTGCAAGAGCAGTCAATGATGCCAGGGAGCAGCGCGTTCCAGCTGCCCGGCGAAGGGGATGATCACCCTTCAGGCTGCGGCCCCACCCTCCAGGCGCGCGGCTTCGCCCGCTCCCGCGTCCCGCCCTGCTCGCGGCCGGCTGCGTCGCCCCTGCCGTGCCCAAGCACATGGGGCGCGACCCGCCCCTGCCCCTGCCCCAGCCCCACACGGCAGAGGAGCCCTGCCCCCGGGTCCTGCCCCTCCCACCTTGGCTCCCGAATCCGCAATGGCCTTGATGTACTCCTCAAGCTTGGCCTCCTCGGTCCTGGGGTTGACGAGGGGTTGCGAGGGGTTTGGGGGGTTGAGTGGGGTTTCGGGCTGTTGAGAGGTGTTGGGAGCAACAGGGGACGCGCGGTACACAGCACCTGATGGGGTGCCAGGCCATGCTCCAGGGGGCAGTGCCGGGCGAGGCGTCGGGCGAAGCCGAGGCGCGCGCCGCAGCTCGCACACACCCACGCCCCAGCCCTCACCCTACCCTCCCCTCACCGCACCTACGCCCCCCTCCCCCGAGCCCCCGCCACGCCGCCGGCGCGCTCTGTAACTGACAGCCGCCACCCCCTGCAAGGATCCAGACGCTCGCCGTCGCCAGCGGGCCCGACCAAACACCAGCCGGCCCAGGGCGCCGGCACGCCGCATTGACCGCCGCCGCCCCAAACAGAGGTGTCACATTAACCCACGCGCCGCCGGCCCCAGCACAACAGCAGCCGGCCGGGGCGCGCCAAGCCGCGCGCACCGCGAGTAGTTCTCCAGCTCCTCTGCGCTTTTGATGAGCACGGTGCCCTTTGTCTCAGTGCCCGTGGTGTCCACGCCCTGCGCGTACACCACCACGCCCGCGTCCTCCACCTCCTTGACAGTGCCCTCCGCGTCGCGCTTCAGGACCATCCCCTGAGTGTGTGTGTGTGTGTGTGTGTGTCAAGCGTGAGCATGTGTTCGTGTACGTGTGCGTGTGTGCCCTGCCTCCCGTCATCCCCCCTGCCACCCCGCTTCCCGCACACCCCCTGCTTGCATACGCAGGCGCGCTCATGCCTGCCTTGCCACTGGTCCTCCTGCCCTCCGATTCCGCCTCGTGCCCCGGCCCTGGGCCCTTAACCCCCCCCACCTTGACGACCCTGCTGTCCGGCAGCCCCCCGCCCATGAGCTTCACTATGCGGACGTTGTCCACGTTGAAGTTGGCGGGGTTGGCGGGGCACACGTCGATGCAGGCCTCCGCAACCAGCCCAGTCAGCAGGTCCTCGTAGCCGTGGACCTGCGGGGTGATGGCGATGATTGTTTTGGGGGGAGCAGGACCAGTAGGGAGGTTTGGCGTCGATACTTGTGGGGGTGTCCAATGCACCGCAGTCCGCCCAGGCGCCTCTCGGTTTCGAGCAAGAATGCGAGAAGGCTCTCAGCTAGGCCAGGCGACCGCGGCGTGACATGGTTCCGCCCGGCGCCGCCCAAGCGCTCCTCTGCTGCGGGCGCCGCGGTGGGCCGCCGTTGCGTGTGGCCGCATTCTCGTCAGCCGCACCTTGCTGCTGACTGCGCCCCGCAGCCGCCGCGCCACCTGGGCTTTGTCCTTCACGTCCAGGTCAGCGGAGCCGGGCAGAACCAGGGACTCCAGGATTTCCAACGCCTGGGCGAGTTTTGCAGTGTTTTTGGGGGCGGTTCATGGATGCTGGAGTGGCGCCTTGCGTTGCGCCTGCTCACATAAAGCCAGTCAGCAAGCTGCCGAAGCGCGGGCCGCGCCGCGTCGTGCCGCTGCCTGCGCAGGCAGGGGAGAGCTGCAGCTGCAGCTGCGCCTGCAGCCGCGGCCGCCGGCGTTGGCTAGGCTGCTCTGACGGCCGCCACGGCCGAGAAAGTCCGCTCCTTCCATCGCACCTTGTCCAGCGATTTCTGGTAGCCGTCTGCGATCTCCGCCGTGTGCAGCCCCTCCCGCAAGAGCCCCTCCGCATTGCCCAGCAGCTCGCCCGCCAGCGACAGCACCTGCGCGGCGGTGCATGCGCCGTCGGGATGGTGCACCCGGCTACAGACGCGGTAGGCCAAGCGCAAGGCACAGCCCAGCAGCGAAGCAGGCGCTGCCAGCTGCTGCATGCAAGCGTGCCCTAGGTACTTGCTGAGAACATAAGATCGCGAATGAACTGTCAAAGTCGACAAACATGCAGCAGGCCGTGCGTCGCTCACCAGGTTGGTGCCGTCGCCGACCTCCGCCGCCTGCGCTTTGGCCGCCATCACGAGCAGCTTTGCCGCTGGATGGTTCACCTCCAGCTCCGTGACGATAGTTGAAGCGTCGCTGGTGACAAACAGCTTTTCAAGGTGGTTTATGACCATCTTGTTCATGCCTACAGAGCGCGGGAGCACTCAGATCAGTCCAGAAGCGCGCGGGCAAGCAGAGCATGGAGGGCCCAAAGACCCTCGATCGCCAGTGATCAGGGGTCCCTGAGCATAAACATTGCTCCTGGCGCACCGTTGGGCCCCAGAGAAGTCCTGGTTATCTGCGACAGCCCCTTGCATGCGTCGATGTTCTTGATCACGGCCTCCTCCACGCCGCTAAAGTATTTATGTCCCTCCTTGAGCATCGACTGCAGTCCATAGGGGGTCCCCATCCCGCCCACAGCTGCTAGTGCCGCTGAGTTGAGCGCGCCTGATCGGCAAGGGCAAGTTCAGGCTAGCTGTTCAACAAGCAAGCACCGCAATATGCTGATGGTGTTATCTCAAGTGTCTGGATTGTGTTGAAGGCCGATGTCGCACATGCTCCCAAGCGCTGTCCTCTGTTTTCGGCACTGGGTCGCGCCTGCCCACGTCCCCGGCCACCTGTACGGGTAATCACTTCAGCAATTTTTCAAGAAGTTATTTTTGCACGATATGTATCATCACTCAACATATGTAGATCGCTGTTGCTGATGTCGAAGCGGAGGAGCAGCGGGGAATCACAGCGAGGGGGCAAGAAGCAGCAAGGCACAACTATCAGGTGATTGATATTCGCCTGACTAGCCCTTGCTGTGTGCGTAGCCACCACCCGTGTCGTCACCAGGTGTGCCGCTGCTGCTGCTGCCGCTGCTGCCGCCGCTTCCGCAGGGAGGGCGTGGGCTTTGCTCAGCTTGAGCTCCCATCCGACAGCCAGGTGAATGAGATACTGCGCAAAGCAAGCCTTGTACAGTCACAGTGTCTGAGAGGCGGTTGCAAATGCGCGTGCGACTGTTGCAGAGGGCTCCAATCAGTAGCGCGCCCGCAGGGCGGCCCAGCATGTGGCAGCGGCGTCGGCGTCGCCTGACAAGCCTGCCGCGCATGGCCGCTTCCGCGCAGGGCTGCCTATTGTGGGGATCCGGTTGGATCGAGGTCACCGCCGGCTGCCTGGACGTCTGCGGGTGAGAGGCGCACCCCCACCACCGAGCCCCGCGCGCGGCCCACGGGTGCCGCAGGCAGCGGCGTGCGGACGCGGCGCAGCAGCTGGCGGGACGCCCCGCCCCAGCCAGCGCCTGGCTGCTTTTGTCGTAGCGTGCGGCCGGGTCCTGAACGATCCGGTGACCTTGCACCCGCAGCCATCATTCGCCTGTGTGACCTGGATGCATACGATGTTGAGCTGCCCCCTGCCCCCCCTCGTGGCAGGTACATCGCCACGCCATCCACGCCGCCCTTCCCTTTCACTGCCGACCCCCGCGCCGGCGGCGCCCTGCTGCTGCAGCCCGCGCCCGGCGCCGCGCGCGCCCCGCGGCTGCCGTCCGCCGCCCACGCGACTGCCGTCGTCCACGCCGCCGCGCCGCAGCCGGGCGGCGGCGGAGCCAGCGGCGGCAGCAGCGG